CGCACCGCAGGCCTGACCGTAGGCACTGGCTTGAACGAAGAGGACGTAGAGGGGCGGCGGGAGGTGTCGGGCCGTCTCGTACTGTTTGTGCGCCTGGTCGAAAGGCATGAAGAGATACTCCTGGACGGGCAGGGAGGCCTGGGGGAAGAAGAGGGCTAGCCTTCGTCACTGGGAACAGAACAGTTCGCCCTCCTCACCCCCTCCTTCACCCCAAGCTGGCAAGTGGGAGACTGGAAACCAGCGCAGCAGCCGTGGTGCAGGGTTAAACGCAGCCACGGGCACGGCGAGGCCCCAGGGAAGGGCTGGCAGCTCTCCTTTGCTGGAAAACTTTTGGATCTCAAAATAACCCAGTTCCTTCTCCTGTTCTTCCCTCCCAAGGCAATCACAAGGGGCTGGAGCTGCGTATCGCTCTCCAGGGAAAGGCCCATTTAACGACTCCTCCGCCTGCAGTTCTGCAGGAATTGCCGCATAAACAAGGAGACTCCAGAGGAGTCTCGGCACGAGGCGGATCTACCCCTTGTCCACGCTGACTGGGAGCGAAACATCTCCAAAAAGCAGAATCAGCCCCGGCGCCGCACCTCTCTAACACAGCCCTCGGAGCGTGACCTCAGCTCGGCCCCGAAGGCCTTCTCCCCTTCCCGCAGAGGTGCTGTTGTACCTGCATGATGCTGTTGACTGGAGGCTGGAGGCTGCTCAGATACTCCTTCTTCACCTCAATCTCCTTCAGGATCTTCTCCTTGCTGGTCAGGCACTCCCTGTACTTCTCTGCCAGCCTAGGGGTGGGAATTCGGTTACCGCCACAGGTCACAGCTACAAAGCCTGCTGGGGCCTGCCTGGTCACGGGCCCCAGCTCTCCTGACCTGACAGAAGTCACTGCAGGAACCAGGAGAGCTCAGACACGGTGACAAAGAGCGCTCGACGCCAAGGGCAAGCGGAGGCAGAAAGGAACCGATTAGAGCTGGGAAACAAACAGGGAGAGAAAGTGGAAGCTCAGCCCTGGGCTGTGCTCCGAGAAGGGACAGCAAGCAGATCTCCCCTCAGCGGACCCGCTCCCACGCCAGCCGCTGCTGCCAGCAGCCGTGCCGACGGAGCCCTGCCGGCCCCGCCGAGCTCCTGAAGAGGCTTTTCCACTTCGTATCACCAGAATCACTTCATGTCACATCAACTCCTTAGTTAAACTCGTGAGAGTCGAGGTTTAATACGCTACCAAATGCTCCTCTGTAACTAGAGAGCCCAGGAAAACGCAAGTTCACCACGACCCTCCAAGCCCTGGACACGCTCGTGTTTAGGGAGAACACGTTAAATCTCCGTATCGCTGTTGACTGCAACCTCTTGCCCAGCAGAAAGCAGCAGCGGGGAAAGTTGGGCACGGAGGCGTGCCGCCCAGGACAAGCCACCCCCGTGGCAGGGGGAACGGCGGTCTGGGGGGCTCACGCACTCTCAGGACCCTGCTCCCCACCGGACGAGAGCACCCGCAGCGCAGAGGATGCCTCCCCCGAGGGGGAACAACAGACCTGACATGGCCAAACTGAAACGCTTCTGTTTCCAAGCAAAACTGTATTTGCGTTGGGTCAACACACCCCAACAGGCTCCGACACAAGGCAGTTTTGAAGTCCAGCTTTCAGGCACCTCTACTGAGCTCCCCGAGCTAGTGAGAGCGGCAAAGATCTCTGTAACACCGCGCAGGAGGCACCTTTTGGAACAGAGTCCGAGACAAACCCAGCACTCCACAACGTGACAGTTATGGATGGACGCTAACAACCCCAACAGCATCAGAAAGTGCCCAAAGCACGACCGGCATCTGCTCCTGAGGCAGCTCAAGAGGCTGTTTCCCACCAAAATGAGATTCCACCTGTATGAGATTCAACAAGGCCAAGTGCTGGGTCCTGCACTTCGGCCACAACAACCCCATGCAGCGCTACAGGCTTGGGGAAGAGTGGCTGGAAAGCTGCCTGGCGGAAAAGGACCTG